GGAGAAGTGGGGGCACCTGAGTGGCTCAGGCAGTTAACCGAGGGTCTGCCTTTGGTTCAGGTCACGATCCTGGGGTCTTTGGATGGAGCCCCACGTGGGGCTCCCTGCTAAGCGGGAAGTCTGCCTCTCCCTCAGCTCCTCCTCCCACCCACCCCCACCCCTTGTTCTCTCTCTCTCTCTCTCAAATAAATAAAATATTTAAAAACAAAACAAAACAAACAAAAAACAGAAAGAAAGGAAAGGGAAGAAAAGGTGTTTCAGAAGAGGCTGCCTTAGCAGGAGGTAAGAAAACAGACAAACCCTCCATCAAGTACCTTCTAGAAAGCATTCACTGTGAGACAATGGGAGCCAGCTAAGCCTACAAGGTCCAATAAAGGGTGTTGCCTTCCACTATTATTTTTAGATGGTCTCAAGGTAAGCACCATTAAGTTTAGGGAGCTAAGTGGGTAGGGCACAGAAGCAGTAAATAAAAAAACAGAGATTTCAGGCTTAAAAAATAGGTCTAGATAAGATCTTTGACTGAAGGCAATTTGCTCATGGAATGACCACAGGCAAAAAGACTGCAGACCTGGGGCGCCTGGGTGGCTCAGTGGGTTAAGCCTCTGCCTTCGGCTCAGGTCATGATCTCAGGGTCCTGGGATTGAGCCCTGCATCGGGCTCTATGCTCAGCGGGGAGCCTGCTTCCCCCTCTCTCTGCCTGCCTCTCTGCCTACTTGTGATCTCTGTCTGTCAAATAAATAAATAAAATCTTTAAAAAAAAAAAAAAAGACTACAGACCTATGACTGTTCTAAGAAAACTGTAATGTTGGGTTCCTGGGTGGCTCATGAGCAACTGGCTCTTGATCTCAGCTCAGGTCATGATCTCAGGGTCCTGGGAGGGAATCCCGCATAGGCTCCTCCTCTCCCTCTGACCCTCCCCCCTCACATAAACAAATGAACTTGAAAAAAAGAAAAAGAAAACTGTACTGCCAACAAATTCCCGTTCTGGTCATAAAAAACACCTGTAATTGATGACCCACTAAAGTAATTCTCAGGCTCCTAACCTTAAAGTAGGCTGTGGAAGGTATGCAGCCGCCAAGGAGGGCACACTCCCCACGCCCATGTCAGAGACTTCCACAGAAGACAACGGGTGAAAAAGAGAAGGCGAAGCCAGGGGAATGTAGTGAATTTACTACACAGCTACATCCGGGAGCTTTTATCATTCCTCTCCAACAGGATCTGATAACTGGTTTGAATAGGGCCCTCTGTTGTTCCTCATTCTTTCCTTTTCCAGATGAGAGTTTTCTTTGTATACTGGATGTGTCAGTATGGGGTGTGTGGCAGTTCATAAAACTCCAGAGCAAAAGACACCATCAGCCCGGACAGGGAGGACTGTACATTCTCTGGAGATAAGGGACTTTGAGATGGATTCAAGGACGGAACAGAGGAGAAAGGAGGTAGATACATTCTTTGTATGGAAAGAAAAGCTTAGGTTATTTGAGTGGCCAGAGGGGTGGAGTGCAGTGATTACTAAGTATTTTTCAATATTTTCCCCACAGAATTTTTAGCTGGTATTTGGCCAACCTGAATAAAAATTATGCTTTCCAGGAATGCCTGGGTGGCTCAGTCGGTTAAGTGCCTGTGTTCTCTCGGGTCATGATCCCATGGTTCTGGGACTGAGTCCTGCATGGGTAATCCTGCTCAGCAGGGAGCCTGCTTTTCCCTCTACCTGCTGCTCCCCTGCTTGCCTGCTTGTGTTTTCTCTCTCTCTCTCTCTCTGACAAATAAATAAATAAAATCTAAAAACAACAAAAAAATTGGGGGAAAAAAAAAAAGGATGCCTCGGAGGTTCAGTCGGTTAAGCATCTGCCTTCGGCTCAGGTCATGATCCCAGGGTCCTGGGATCAAGTCCCACTTCAGACCCCTCTGCCTGTTCTGCCTGCTGCTCCCCCTGGTTATGCTCACTCTCGCTCTCTCTGACAAATAATTTTTTTTAAAAATTATGCTTTCCAAAAAAAATTATGCTTCTCAGTCCCCTTTGCAGATACATGCTGACCAAGTTCTGGCCAGAGAGATGCTACTCCAAGTGACAGAACCAACTCTCCCCAGCCTTTCTCCTACCTAGCCTAGTAGAAGACACTGATCCACAAACCGAGTCACTGCAAAATAATAGAGTAAGTTCTGGAACACAGAGAAGAAAAGCCTGTCAAAGATCTGTGTGCAATGGTAAGTTTGAAGAAAGTTACAAGGTGGCCTACTTGCCTTTCAGTTTTATTCAGAGTAGTTAAAACATAAGAAGAATGAAATTATTGCCCTTAGCAACAAAATTCCTTAAGCTAGATCTTGTAACTGTGCAACAATGGTTTCCAGGCACTGATTTCACTCTTGCCTCCCAATACCACAAGAGGCCACACTTGGCCTGCAGTTCTAACTCAATACCGACCTTTCAAAGGTCACCAAGCACCTCAAAGCACAGCAAATTCACGGGGGTGGGGGGGATGGGGGGAAGGCAATTTGGTTATGAGGGGGGAGGGAAGGGATGGTATATAAAAATCAACCCCAGAGATATTTTTCAAACACCTGCCCAAAGCTCCCAAGATAATTTGGGTAGTCTTCTAGTTAAAAACCACCAGCCCATGGGGCTCAGTCGGTTAAGCGTTTGCCTTCAGCTCAGGTCATGATCCCAGGATCCTGGGATTGAGCCCCACATTGGGCTCCCTGCTCAGCAGGAGCCTGCTTCTCCCTCTCCTCCCTGCTTGTGCTCTCTCTTGCTATTTCTGTCACTATCTGCCTGTCTCTCTCAAATAAATAAATAAAAATAAAATCTTAAAATAAAACAAAACAAAAAAAACACTGGTCCAGGTTTTTCTAAGGCAAGTTTTCAGCTGTCAGGCTGTTATTAAGAATTGAACAGAGGGGTGCCTGGCTGGCTCAGTCCATGAGGCAGCAACTCTTGATCACGGGGTTGTAGGTTCGAGCCCCACGTGCATGTGGAGATTACTTAAAAGTAAAATGCTAAAAAAAAAAAAAGAAAAGAAATCAGATAGAGACCCAATTGTGAGAGAAAATCTTAAACAAGATCACAATAATTGCGCAAGGAGCACACACTAATATGATTTTAAATGAAGAAGAGATTGTTAAACATGTCCTACACATACATTCTTTGAGACTATAACAGTATTTGGCCATAGTTGGTTGTGGACCTTCTGCTAGAGAATCACCTGGGATGCCTGATTTAAAAAAATCTATATTTTTGAACCAGATCTCAGACCACTGAGTTAGAACCCTGGGGTGGGAGGATACCTGGGAACTGGCTTTTTTTTTTTTTTTTTTAAGGATTTATTTATTTTTTTGAGAGAGATAGAGAGAGAGAGCATGCCAGGGTAAGGGTAGAGGAAGTGGGACAGAAGCAGACTCCTTGCTGAACTTGGAGTTCCATGCAGGACTCCATCTCATGACCCTGAGTTCCTGACCTAAGCCAAAAGCAAGAGTCAGATGCTCAACTGACTGACCCACCCAGGCTTCGTAAGAACTGGCCTTTTAAAAATCAATTCAGTAATTTGAATACACATACACATTTCAGACTAACTGACATATAAACTTCTTGACATTTGGGCGCCTAGGTGGCTCAGTCAGTTGGGCGTCTGCCTTCGGCTCAGGTCATGATCCCAGGTTGCTGGGATCGAGTCCCACATCGGGCTCTCTCCTCCACGGAGAGCCTGCTTCTCCCTCTTCCCCTGCCTGCTGTTCTACCTGCTTGTGCTCTCTCTCTGTCAAATAAATAAATAAAATCTTTTTAAAATTTTTTTAAAAATAAAATTCTTGACATTTGATTTGCAAAGTGAAATAAGACAACAGTCTTATCCTCAAGGGATTAACAATCTAGCTGGCCAAATGTTTTCCCTAAAGAAATCTCATTGTATCCAAGAGACAGAAATCAGGTTCACTATAAATGTCCTCTGAGGTCAAGAGCAAAATATCAAGGTTCCAATGTAAACCTAAGATTCAAAGTTCGGGTACTTAGGATCTTCATTGTTAACCTGATAAGTGGACTGAAGATGCCAAATGATCTTCCTCTAATAATCAGTCTGTATTCATCTTCTACTCTGTGAGGATTAAATATAGACAACTTTGGGACACCTGGTGGCTCACTCATGAGCTCATGGGTCATGGAGCCCCGGGTGGCAGGCTCACGCTCAGGAGGAGATTGCTAGAAGATTCTATCCCTCAGCTCCTCCCCTCACTCACCTCGGCCAGTGGTGTTCTCTCTCTCTCTCAAATAAATCAATATATTAAAAAAAATAATAAAACAGACAATTTTTCAGCATAAACTAAATACTCAAAATAGGTCTCTTGCACATGAGCATTCAAAGAGAGGTCTCGAGAACTGATATTCACATCTCCTAATTCACTAAAACCACCAGCAACATACTTTTAAATTCAGAAAGGAGTTTAAAACTCTGAAATTAAAATAAGGGGCTAGTTAGGTCAGGGAGACAGATAATTAATACCATGCTGTGGTCCAGACCACCAACTAACTTGCCCTCTTCAACCCTCGCTATACAGTTGTGATCCCCACACATTCTGTTCACACGAGCCTTAGAGATGGCTCTGGAAATGTATCCTTGAGTAAACTCGAGCAGCTGGGAGATCTCAGAACTCTGCAACCCCGCCTTCGAAAAGACCTAAGTTTCCAGAAGTTTACATCCAAGGAATAGAAAGGCCAAGACCTCACAAAACCAGTCAGAACACGAACTCGGGTAAGATCACCCAAGCGTGGATCCAATTACGAGACCTCGACCTCAAGATTCCCCAGCTACGAGGCTGGACAGACGATGACCCTGACACCACCACCCACGCCTGCCTTCCTTGGCCTCCTCACCTCCCCTTATTCCCCACCCGCCCGAGCACACTTTGCAGACCCCAGAAGCCCGACCTCCCCCACAACAGCACCCCACTTCAGGCCTGTCGGGGAGGCCCCCTTTTTCCCCTGCATCTATGATCCCGGCCCTATCCCAGACCTGGAGGGCGCGCCAGGCCGCCCCGGGGCTCCCGGCTCTCGGGCTTCCTTGGCCGGTACCCATAGACGCCCTTCTCCGTCTGGTAACCGCGCCGGAGGAGAAGCGGAGGGGCTCGGCAGAAGCCTCGTCTTGCTGCTGCAACAGTGGCCGTGGCCATGTCCCGCCCGGACCCCTGAGTCGCAAGACGAGGGGAAGCAGCCGCCGGGAGAAGGAAGGGTCGCCCCTGGGCAGCCTGGAACCGGTGCAGTGGCCCAGCGGGAAGCGCGAGGCTGGAGGCGGGAGCCCCACCCCGGGACAACGCCCCCACGTCTGATTGGCCAGGGGCCGGCCCCTGACAGCCAATCCAGGTCAGCGGCCGGCGGGGCGGAGCCTCGCCCCGGGATCCGGCGGGACTGGTGAGGTTCTGGAGGCTGAGCGAAGCAGGCAGTGCGGACCCGAGCGTCATCTGCTTTCCCGTACAAAATTCGTTATCTCTGTATGTTCTAAGGACTCCCGCCGGGAGTATTCACCCACCGCCCCTCTGCGGGAAGCCCCAGACCACAACCTCACAAACGCGAAATAGGTTTCCATACCGAGGGGAAAATCAGCTACAGGATGCAAAAAAAAAAAAAAAAAAAAAAAAAGTAGTTGGGATGGGGACCAAGGGACGCATATGAATGAAGGTCATATGAAGGAGCCAGAAAATCAATATCGTTCCTTTTTTTCTTAAGAAACATTTTGGAAGAAAGTAGAAAATAGGAGAGGAGGAGCCTGTAATAAGGGGATAAAATAAAAGTGAAAAGAAATTGGGCATGGAAGATTTCAGGCATCGTGGAGATACTGAGATTCTCCGTTCGTTTATCTCTGACAGAATTTCCCAAACTATTTTATTCTACGACTCACCCTTAAGTTTGCCAGTGGGGTGGGAGATGGAAGGGGTCTGATTCCCTCCCGCGTCAGTCATCCCATCATTCCAGTCTGCCATGCAACAGTACCCCATACTCCTAACAACGTTACACGTATGGGTCCAAGAGATAGCTCTCCACCTCACTCCCTCAAGCCCCACGCCCACAGAACACTTTGCCAGGTTCCAAGGATTAGTAAGATACAGGGTCTGCCCTTAATCAGTTCCCAGTCCAGTTGCAGACTGAACTCAACACACAGTATGAGAGATGCTTGGACAGAGAGGCGTATGCCCTGCAAACATGGACAATGGGGGTAGAGTATGAAGAGGTGTGTCGGGGAACCTCCAAGTGGAAAGGACACTAGAACAGAATCTTCAGGGATGAAGTAGGTTATGGTGATTATGATTTTTTTTTCTTTGTAATTTTAACACAAGAGTCCAGAGCACATTTGAAAGATTTTCCAAAGTACTAAATCAAAAATACGGAAAGGAGGAATAAGCCAAGAGTATGAAGTCCCTGCAGAGATGGGAAGCGATGGGCTCCAAGCACAGAAGATGCTAGAAAGAAGAGATGTGTCTTCCATTTTTTTAGGTGGAAATAAGAGAAGATTGGTGCAAAAGCAATCAGAGTTGTAGATTCAATGGTAAAATTTTGAGGGAATTTCTTCTGTGTGAAGTATGAGGCTATAATTTGCCCCCAAAAGAATTATCTGAGAAAGTGCTGGGGAGTGGGGAGGTGAGTCAGAGTTCAAAAGGTGGGGACAGTAGGAAACTGTCACTGAGGAAAGTAGTAAAATGTGAAAGATTGTCCTAAAGTTTTGCGTGCCACCCAGTTGAGGTTGGTGACCGTGAATAGAAAGAGATACCAATTTCTGCTCTTTTGTGATTTTCTACATTAGTGCTCAGCTGGCTTGGCACAAAGAAGGTGGGAAGGATGATGACTGGATCCATTCATGGCTGTAATTTTTCCAGGCAGATGTGATATAATGGCCAAGACACAAAGATGTTTGAGATACTAGTTGGCAAACAATTGAAATTAAAAACAAACAAACAAACAAAAAATAAAACATGGACTCTATGCTGGGGGGAAAAAAAGCTAAAGATATAAGAATGGGCTCATAAACGAAGGGAAGTGCCAGTGGGTTGTGAATTCCAAGGAGGCTGAAGAATAGGTAAACTCGGGGTGCCTGAGAAGCTGAGCTATAAAAGAAGATCGTAGAAAGACAATGGGGTATTTGAAGCAGCTCTTTCTGCCATTGGTCCTGTCCCTGTGCTTTAATAAAAACACCTTTTCGTGCTGGAAAAAAAAGAAAGAAAGAAAGAAAGAACATGGGGTGTTTGTTGTGATGATTGCAGAAGTGATGCAAATTTTGATAACGATAAGGAAAGTTGGTTGGCTAAAGTGAAGTGATGAAGAATATTATCAGGTAATGTCTCAGGTAAGAATTGAAAGGTCAGATTTTTACATCATGTGCCATAGAAACACTCATATCACCTTGGAAGTGCCAGAAATTAAAGTAGAGGAAGACTCTTAGCTACATGTTGAACCCTCTGGTGAAGGAGGAGGAACAGCTAGGAAGTTGGCAGGTGATGCTGTGGAAGGGGAAAAGGTGTGGCATATCCTTAATGCATGGATTCACATTGGCAGGGAAATGGAAAAAAATGTAGTCAGCAGCTGGGAATAAAGATGATACAGGTCCCATCCCTGGACCAGGTACAGTCTATCCAAAATAGCTCTCAAATCTGTTCACTCTCCATCATTACCGCCTAGTCCGGGCCACCTCTCCCCAGGAGGACCACAGTAGCTTCCTAAATGGTCTTCTGGTCTTGGGTCATTCCTTGCGTTGTCATACTTCTTCCACATTGAGTCAGACTTATTTCCTAAAATTAATATCTGATTCACAGGGCTCTTGTCTGAATTTGAATAAGAGCATTCAATCAAAAAAATACATAGCAGACCGTGGGAAAAGAACTATTATAATCATTACAATATTATTAATGCTGTTTTAAAACTACAGTTTATGTAGTTTAATCATTTTATTATTTCTGGAAAACTTAAATGTTTTGTTCTCTTTTCTACTGTTATCTTATTTCTACATAGAACATGGAAGTAGATAGAGATGGTTCTATATATAGTTCTATATAGATTTCTAGAATTGAAATGCAATGCTGTGGTAATTGCATGAGTGCTGTGCTGGGTATCAGGCTACTAGATTCTAATTCCACTTTTTCATTGATTGGCTGTGTGTCCTTGGAAGGACACAACCTCTCTATTTCCTCATGGTCTACACGTTCTTTAAAGTTCATTCAAGTTCTAAATGGTTTTGATTTAAAAGCTTAATGTAAAAAATAAGAGGATATGTATTGGGCCACTAGAGGAGAAGGGGAGAGTGTAGGCCTTACTTATTTATACAAATGGAATGTTTTACAGAAATTAAAAAGGAATCAACCAGGTGTACACATAGAACATAAATAGTTTCCCAGTATATAAAGTGGAGAAGAGAAAATGACAGAAATGATATTCACACAAATTTTAAAATACACCAAGTTAGTCTATGTGTTTTTAATGAATCTGTACATATATAGTAAAAGCGTAAATATATAATTAGGTAAGATGCATATCAATTTCAGTAGATTGTTTGGGGGGCATGGAGAGGAAAAGAATGGGTGGGGCAGGAGCTTTTATGAGTTCTACAGTGTTATAGTTCTTCTGAAAATTCTGATACTCGTATTTCAAAATGTTAGTCTCTGTTAGGATTTCAAAAATATTTGAAAGTATTTGTCAAATTGTGGGTGATGAGAATATGGTTATTTGGTTTTTGTGACATGTGACTCTTGATTTCAAGGTCGTGACCTTGAGCCCCACATTGGGTGTGGAGAATACTCAAAAATAAAATCTTTGGGCACCTGGATGGCTCATTTGGTTAAGCCACTGCCTTCAGCTCAGATCATGATCCCAGAGTCCTGGGATTAAGTCCCATATCAAGCTTCCCCTGCTCTGCAAGGAGCCTGCTTCTCCCTCTCCCTCTGCCTGCCACACCCCCTGCTTGTGCTGAATCTCTCTCTGCCAAATAAATAAATAAAATCTTTAAAAACAAAGTAAAATAAACTAAAACCTTTAAAATAAAAAAAAATTGTATATAAGTATTACCTACATTGGGAAAAAATAAAATAATATATTTTAAATTGTAAACATTTATAAAATATTTTTTAAATTATAACTGAAAATTAGAAAGATCTTCCCTGATGTCCTTCTTAAAATTGCAACTAACCTCATCACCCCTCTTACTTCTGCTCCCCCTTACTCTACTTTTCTTTTTTTATATTATTACATATATCATTTTCTAATGTACCGTAAAATCTGCTTATCATTTTTTCTCTATCTCCTTTAACTAATATGTAAGCTCCATAAGAACAAAGATCTTTATAGGTTTTCCTCACAGATATATCTTAAGTGCTTAGAAGAGTGCCTGGCACAAAAGAGGTATCCCAGAAATATTTTCTCAGTGATTGTATGGATTTTAGAGGCTGACTGCTTGTGTTGAAATTCTTTTATATATTTATTTATTTGACAGAGAGAGAGAGATCACAAGTAGGCAGAGAGGCAAGCAGTGGGGGAGGGGGTGAAGCAGGCTCCCTGCTGAGCAGAGAGCCTGATCCAATGTGGGGCTCAATCCCAGGACCCTGAGAACATGACCTGAGCCAAAGGCAGAGGCTTAACCCACTGAGCCACCCGGGCGCCCCTGGTGTTGAAATTATAGTGCTACCACTTTCTAGTTGTGGGATCGTGGCCAAGTTATTTACATGCTCTTATTTACATTCCCTATCTGTAAAATGGGACTTGTAATAGTACTTACCTAATCGGGTTGGTGTAACTACCTATCAAACACTTTAGAATAATGACTGGCATAATGTAAATACTCAATACTTATTAGAAATAATAATGATAATAATAATAATTATTATTATTATATTGTTATTATTATTACAAGGTCTTAATCACGATAAGTGACCCTCAACATGATTCCTGGGATGTGATGGTCTTGAGCCTGCATGAGGCCTGATAAGTAAGTCTGTGTGTCAGGGTTCAAGACAATTAGCAATGACTCAGTATGAGAATGGGAATATTCTAGGTATCAACTGAAGGAGTTCAGAGTATGCCACCCCAAAATGTGCCACTCTGGCACAAGGATCATTTTGAGCTGAAAGCAATTGAAAAGAAACAAATATAAGAAGGGCAAGATGATTCTTTTTTTTTTAAATTTTTTATTTTTTTATAAACATATAATGTATTATTAGCCCCAGGGGTACAAGTCTGTGAATTGCCAGGTTTATGCACTTCACAGCACTCAACATATCACATACCCTCCCCAA